CGGTGCTAACCACCGAGCCACATGCAGCCCCTCAAAACAAAATCAATACAAATATTTTTGTTGTTGTTGTTTGAAACCAATGTGCTCCGGGTGCATAGGGCCTCAGCTCAGAGGTTTTTCTAGCTGAAGCAGCCAGCTGGACTGTCCATATACAGGAAGGTTTTGTCAGAGTGTTTTGGTTCTTTGCAGGTTGATGATCAGCTTGAGGCCCAGGGAAAAAAGCAAATATAGGTGCCCCCCTTTCAATCTGTAGAGCTTGATGGTGGCAACCTGCAGATAGCAGTGTTCCCATCACGCCTGACACACGTTCACAGTGACTAATGGCAGCGAGGACCACTCTCACTCCAACATCGTTGTGGTTGTACCAGCTCATTTCCTGTCTATTGCTGACCATGTCAGTTAAGTGAGCGGTATTGTGCTGTGTTCAGGTCCCGGCTCGCTGTGGGATGACTGTGAGAGACTCCCTAAAGAAAGCTCTGATGATGCGAGGACTCATTCCGGAGTGCTGTGCAGTATACAGGATACAGGATGGGTAAGTGTCTCATCATCTTACTGTACTGGATAGAGAGCAGGAGCCGTTTATCAGACGTCTAAGGACTACACTGTGTGAGCAATCAGACACTTCACTATAGCACTTCATCTTATAGCCAAGTGTAAAAGTCACTTTCAAGAGCAACACACACACATGACCAAACGATGGATCAAATGTATGCTGAGAGCAGGAATATGTGGTCAGAGAGATACATTGAACCTACTTTACCCCATTTTTTTCAAATAAAGTTTCAAACAGAGCTACTATTTTTTTTAGAAATCATCTTATGTAAAGTCTACAATAGAAGTGAGTACCATATCCCTCACATGTCAAATGACTCAAAGTTGTATCCCCTCGTAATAATAGTGTTATTTTGACAAGTTGAGTAAATCAGCCTTTATGGACAGCATCCAGGAAAACCCCCCTGCTTGTTGTTTGGTACCAAACTGCCAGAGTACACTTTGCTAAAGAGTATATAGAGATGCTTGATGAATACTCAGATGATACCAAAGTAAGTTCAATCAGGCCAGATGGGATCCAGCACATGAAGCATGAATGTGACCAAGACTACCTGGGAGTGGGATGATCCGGGGCTGCATGAGTGCAGAATGTGTTGGAGATATGACATCTATAGATGGCAACATGAATAACTGGATATATAGCAAAACATTGGCTGACAAGATGACTTCTAATCTGCAGTCCTCAGATGTAATCTAAAGTCCATTTCACTGTTGGCTCTGTGACCTGTCCGAGAGCAGAGCAGAGACATAGAGGTAAAACGTAACCGGGGTTTCATACACATTCTGCCACCACATGGTCTCACATAATTATGGGCTGAAATTCTGTGTTAACAACAGTAATAGTAATGGAATTATCTCATTATTGGCCTGTAATGTATCTGCTGCTGTCCATCCCTGATCATTATTATTAGAGAAAACAGCGGCGTTCAACTGTTTCTGCATCACAGCCATAGGAGACCTCCTCTTAGTCAGCTTCCAAACCCACCCTCAATCCCCCCAGACACCCGTGGTCGGGTCCTCATGCCCAACAAGCAGAGAGCAGCGGTTTGTAGAAAGATCTCAGAAAGCACATGTACACAACAAGATTTGAAAGATTTGAATTTTGATTGTCATGGATCAAAATGAACCAAAATGACATTTATTTTAATTTGCAACAGCTACAAATAAAGAATTGCTCCTTTTAGGTGAATAGCCGCCTCTTGTTGTCCATGTTACCAGTCAGGCCACAGAGACATGGACCTGGACTTGCATAAAGACCAGATTTGGAGTATAAAAAAAAAACACTAGTAAAAGACTCATACAGTACATTCAAGCAGAGCTCCTTCTGATCAGTCTTATTATGATCATTAAAAAGATATTCAACAGTTTGAAGTTGAGCTTGATGAGCCCTACACAATAAAACTAAAGCTGAGAGAAAAAGTTGGTTTTGAGAAAATGACTGCATAACAAATAGGGAGGGGTACGAGGACCTAACCCCCCTACTGTTTTACATTGAAGCAGTTGTTCGTAATCAGGGTTCCCACGCATCCTGGAAAACCTGGAAAATTATTGAGCAATTTCCCAGTCATGGAAAACGTATGGAAAATAAGAAAACAAAGTAAAATGTCCTGGAAACGGTTAAGTTATCCTGTAAAATTATTTATCCTCCATGTGCCAAAGCAAACAGGGTAAAAGTTATGCACATGCATGTCTGTTGTCAGCTGACCTTCTGGGCAGCATTAAGGCGTAGCGCGGCTTCCAGCCGCCGCAGCGCCCCTACCTGACGCTACCAGACAATCCCATTTGACATTTCTGCTTAGAGCAGTTCTGCAACCCAGTGCTTCCAGTTGACTTTGTCGCTAGATTTAGCAACTTTTCAGAGCTCTAGTACAAACAATGGAAAGCCCACAGGAGAGCGTCAAGGAGCTACAATCACTGAGCAGCTTTTTGTATTAGAATGACATTGCTTTGTTTTATATTGACCTTATTGCACTGCAGGATAAAATAAATTTGAATATTTAGTTATATTTACGACAATTAATGTTTTGCTTGGCTGATTTTGGCAGTGATTTAGATTTTGGGATGTGCAACAAACTGAGATGAAACAAAGGAAATTGTTTTTCAGTGATTTACTGAAAATATACGAATATTTTCAGGTGAAGTGCAGGAGAGACAGTAAGAGAGGAGAGAAAGTTGATTGGGAATTTCCCAGTTGAACATTGTAGCTCCAGTTTGTCGTGCTGATTATTACGCTGTGATCTGTGGGTGTGTTTATTCTATGGTACATTTGTCATAATTATTTTTCATAGATAAATTCTAGCCAAAGACTGCACATTAAATGTCTGAGTAATAAACATGGAAACAATCTGGGTAACTGCAGGCTGCAGCTGTAGAAAACACTTTCAGAGAATGAGGGGGACAGGCTGGAAAAGTACCGGAAAATAATTTCAGACAAAGAGTGGGAACACTGGTTATAATGGTTAGCAAAAACACAGGCTGAGGGGGGCTGTGTTCTGACCTTCAAACACATTTTGTTGTAAATTCTAAATATTAATCAAAAGTTTTAAAATAATCAGTGATTCCCTATTATTGAAAGGAACTGCATTATGTTCAAAATATCACCAAATGTCAAATTAAAGCCTTTACATCATTATTATATATAATATTTATGATTATTATATCATAGTAATTATATAATAATATAATCAACATAATAATTGATCAGATTTATTCAGTGCTTTTCTAGACACTCAAACACTCTTCACACTGTGAGCTATTCATTCACACACCCCGGTGGTGGTAGCTACGGTTGTAGCCACAGCTGCCCTGGGGCAGACTGACAGAGGCCTGGCTGCCATTCTGCCCTCCGACCACCACCTCAACAATCCATTCATACGCATCCACACCAGGCAGGTGGTGAAGTGTCTTGCCCAAGGACACAATGACCATGACACAGGTTAAAGGGTGGAATGGAACCACCGACCTTCTGATCATTGACCGACCTGCTCTATCACCTGATCCACAGCTGCCCAGCACCAAGCATAGGTATAGGTTTACACCTGTTACCTAGGTACTGCAGAACTACCGATGTGCCACATTAACATCCTACGTGACATCTGTGAGCACTAGCTGTCCCTACTGATGAATAAAACATTTTTTTCCCTGGAAACCGCCATGGTTCGGTTTGAATAGGCTTTGGTGTTGTGATTAAACCAACAGCAGTGTGTAAACAGGTCAACATACTCTCCACTGTCTGTTTCAGAGAGAAGAAGCCTATTGGCTGGGACACGGATATCTCCTGGCTAACAGGAGAAGAGCTGCATGTAGAAGTGTTGGAGAATGTGCCACTTACCACACACAACTTTGTAAGTACTGTTAGACACACTCTCACAGTGTGACTCCCACAGCTGACTGTAAACACTGTCCTCTGACCCTCAGAGCTGCTTGGTGCTGATTGTGTCTCTATTTAATTTACAGGTGAGGAAGACGTTCTTCACTCTGGCCTTCTGTGACTTCTGCAGGAAGCTGCTGTTCCAGGGTTTCCGCTGTCAGACCTGTGGCTACAAGTTCCACCAGCGCTGCAGCACTGAAGTTCCCCTCATGTGTGTCAACTACGACCAGCTAGAGTAAGTCCCACACAGACAGGACCACTACACTGTGCAACCCAGTGTTATTATTTGAGGCACACATGATGTACCTGTGGTGTGTTTCAGGGAAAAATGGCCTTTTTGTGTTTTTTCAAACATGTCTACACACTTTGGCTTTTTTTAGGGCAGGTGAAGCACTAAAAACACACTTCTGTTCATCTTTTTAGAGACTATTATTAACAACAAAGTCACAACATTCATTTAGTCATTTATGAAATCCGGTTAGCACCGTCGCCTCGCAGCTAGAAGGTCACCGGTTGGCGTCCCGGTGAAGACACCCGGAATCTTCCTGCGTGGCGTCTCCATGTTCTCCCCGTGCAGCGTGGGTTCTCTCCGGGTTCTCCGGCTTCCTCCCACAGTCCAGAAACATGTTGAGGTTAATTGGTGATTCTAAATTGTCCGTAGGTGTGAATGTGAGTGTGCTTGGTTGTCTGTCTGTAAGTGTAGCCCTGTGATAGACTGGTTACCTGTCCAGGTGAACCTGCCTTCACCCTGAGTCAGCTGGGATAGACTCCAGCCCCCCATGACCCTGGTGAGGATGAAGGTGTAGAGATGATGGATGGATGGATGGATTTATGAAATCCATGATTTACAGTCGTCAGAAAAATTATTTTTTTCAATTCAATCCAAAACTTGCACGCTTCTCATGGAGTGACTTTTATCAAACCAAATCAGCCAGCACAGGAGCCCCAAATCACAGTCATGCTTGTGGTTATTGCTGCCTGGTTACTGAACACAGTGTGTACTGCTTAACGATTAAGTGGTCAAGTATGAATGGACAGATGAGGCTGGTGATGCACTTCTGATTCTTGACAGTATATTGTGGATGTATCTTGACTGTTGTACTATTGTGACTGTGCCTATTGTCTAAGCTAGCTTTGTTGATCTTGTTGTCCAGTTCTGCTTTTAAATAGCCAGATTCAAGAATGGAACAAAAAAAACCAACTCATATCATAAGCAATGTGAGGTACAGCTTCATCTGCTGAATACTATCATCAAAACCTTTTAATATCAATTGAAATGCTGCTCTGAATGAAACCTGTGATCAGATGCGGGGCCATCATGTGATCATACACGAACACTCGGTGTGTCTGTCTTGTTGTGCCATTGTGAGGTTAAACTGGAAAACAATGACCAACTGTCATTTGCATTAGTTGCGCTGAGAAAGTTAAAAACACATAACTTAGAGTCTCACAGGAATAATTAATCTGAATGGCGTGTGTTCTGTAGCTTGTTGCTAGTGTCCAAGTTCTTCGAGCATCACCCGTTCACCCAGGAGGAGGTCTCCTCAGAGGGAACCACACCTGTGTCTGAGGCCTGTCCATCACTCCCTCCATCTGACTCCACCGGGTGAGTCCTCCACCTTTACACTCCTCAGGGGAACAGAAGTCATTCTCCTCCTTTTGTGCTTCTTTTTCTTTCATGGGTCAACTGCGCATGTTTTGTGTTTTTACAGAGCAAATAAGCATGAAAACATGTAGAAACACTTTCACTACAATTCCTAAAAGTCTGTTGCAGCTACTTTTCACTAACTGTTCATATCTTCAGGTCTATATGCCACACCACTGTGTCCCCGTCCAAGTCCATACCCATCCCACCCAGTTTCCGGCCCAACGAGGAGGACCACCGCAACCAGTTTGGTCAGAGGGACCGTTCGTCCTCCGCTCCCAACGTCCATATCAACACTATCGAACCTGTCAACATCGATGTGAGTCTGCTGTCACTTTGCTGGACAGACTGATGAATGAAGATTCATTATGAACATGTAAATGGAAATGGATACGCTCTGTGTTTCTCTACTGGTGGACATTGGTGGACTTGTACCTGAGAGCTGGCATTGCTATGAGATCGTCCAGAAACTCCAGCTGTACGCTGTTGACTGAAGCACACCATAGGCCTGTACAGCCTTCAAAGTAGTTTTTGTTGTGTTCAGTAAGCCGACATAGCTTTGGATATTTGACTACGATTGTTGAGTTTGTATTTCTGGGAGAAGTACCGCCTGGGTAGCCTAGCCCGTTCACAGTAACTGTCCATGTTAGTTTACAACTTGCTGGTAGCTGCTGCACCTACAGAGTGGTGTCAGCTAGAGTTAGTCGGGTCTTTAGCGCGCCCACTTTGTGAGGACACATGATGGGTTTCACTGTCAAAACTCAAGACAAGCAGTAGTCCTGAAAGCATGGACAGACGCATTGGTGCGAAGTCAGCAGTACTGCAAGTGTTGTTACCAGAGCACCACGGAGAAGAAGGAGCCGAGTCAAAAAGGCAAAACTTTCAATTTACTGGTTGATCTATGTTCAGCTCACCTATGGTCATGAGTTCTGGCTAGTGCGAGAAAGAATGGCGTCACAGATATAAGCAGCTGGAATGAGTTTTCTGTGTTTGGTTGCTGGGCTCAGCCTTACAGATACGGTGAGGAGCTCGTCCATGTGGAGGGAGCTCAAATAAAGTCACTGCTCTTTCTCTTCAGAAGGAACAGCCTGTGGTATTTGGGCATCTGCTTAGGATGCGTCCTTTCTGAGGTTTCACATGCGTGTCCAATGGGGAGGAAAGTCTTGCTCAGTCTGCTTCCACCAGTACCCAACTTTGGATAAGAAAATGGTTGGATGTCTGGACATCTGTGGTCAAAACGACTGTCCAGTCATTGTATTTGATCCGCATGAGATGATTGGATGCCCTTCCCAGCTAGCAAACAGATAGCACAAGAACAGAAGCCAGAATACAGTCGTATTTTACAGTTCCACCTAAGCCTACATTGATGCTCACTGTGGTCTCCAACCTCCTCATTGCTTCATTATGGTATGTTTTACATGTATTTGCCGCCTGTCTCTGCTTGTGAGAAGTGTCGTTTTATGGTAAATATCTTATTTTAATCTCGTCTCTGCACCAGTGCTCCCTCTAGTGGATTCATCCTCCAGCTCTACTTAGACAATATGCATTCATGTGTTTTGGAGGACAGACTTGCCTTGAAGAAAGGGGGTGGATTATTTGATTGTATACTTTTAAAATCGAGCTCATTCTTAGTGTTTTTAGTGTAGCTGGTGTCTCTAGCTTTAACTGAACATCATCTCTACCAACCCAGTCTCACGGTTATTCGTAAAATAGTCATGAAATTTCATCTATTGTTTCCTGTCCTGGGACACGATTTGCCGACTTTTTCGAAGTCCTGACAAATGTGTTTTGTTTGAAAAAACAAAAGTGGATCTGAGTCTGACACCCAACATAGAAGGACCTGTCTCTGGTCCTCCAGAGCTCTTTTTTTCTTGAGTCTCTGGATGTATATGTAATGGAGTCATTAAAGGTTTTCAGCTCGGACAAATACTCCTCAGTTTGCACCACCCAGACCAGATTCACATCTATTTATGTCTTGCATTCTTTCGTGTGGCACATCCTAACTGACTGAATGTATGACAGTGTTCATGTTTACTTTTCTTTCTTTCTTCTTCCAGGACCTGATTCGAGATCAGGGCTTGCCGAGGTCAGATGGAGGTAAGGATTAAACTGAGAGACTTCAGGCTCTCCTGTAGCTTTTTTCCACCATCCTGCGTCTGTGTGCTCTTGGTCTTTTGTGTGTGTGTGAAGTTCAGACCCGAAAGAAAGAGTCAGTTGTGTTTAGTCCTGCACCCGACCAGTCACTACAACCAGTAGCCGAAAGTCCTTCAGATTTGTGGCCAGCGTGTCTGGAAGAAAAGATCCTCCACTTGAGCAGAGCTTGTTTTTGTTGACATTCTCAGTGCTCTGAGCTCCTCTGGACGCTTAGCAGGAACGTATGTAGCTAATACATTTTTCATTTTCATTCAACAGGTTCAGTGACAATAAAATCATAGTGAGGGACCCATTGCAGTCTTCATGGTATAACTATTACTGACCCTAAATAAGACAAACCCTCTACCAAGGCTGCACAGTCCTCAGAATACATTTAATATTATTAAAGACTTGTTTCCACCTAAATCTGGAATGACTTTAAAATACACATAAGTAGGGTTGGGCATCAGGAAATCTCAGATTCCAAAGAAAGCAGGATGAAATTTTAATTTTAATTTTGCTTGTCAGTCACTTAACAGATTTCAATTGTGGTAGTTCATAAACAATGTGCTGCAAAAGCCTGGCGTATATATCTACGGCTCTCCATCTGTGCCATTAGTCATGTGAGTTGAATGCCTGCATGTCTCCGGATGCATTTGTACAGATAAAGCGTGATCCTAGCATTACTACCAGTTGACCTACTCGGCTGTTTGAGTCGCAGGTTAACGCCACCAACTGTGTCACTGTCTCACAACGATCACCTTGATTTAGCAAAATCTGCTAGAAAACGGTTTTATGTGGCTGATCGGGCTCCACTGGCGTTAAAGTACAGTGGCTGAAGCAAAACAGTAGAATATTCAAAATTCTGAAAACGCAGCCAGGATCACCACCTTCCTTGGAGAAGATGTGCATCCAGGCTGAGGGTGTGATGACTTCGCTTGTTAAAAAAATCATAGTAACGAGATGAATTCATCTCGTTAATGAGTGTTTGTTTGCCTTGATAGACAGAGATGGGTGGTGGAAGTAGCAACAGTCTGAATACCAAACTAAAAGTACGTAAAATAAAATCATGTATGCATAATCAGAAGAATGCAATGTGGTATTAAAAGTACTCGATGCAGAAAAGATTCTCCTGTGACTATATGATATGACTAGATTCTCAGCCCTCATGCATTATTGTAAAAGCAGGATTCTACTGTTGTATTAGTCCTAACCACCTACAACTCAAAGAACTGGAATCGAGAATTGTTAGAATACAAACGATACCCAACCCTGCACATAATAGTAGATGCCTATTCCATCCAGCGTTTCAGTCAAGTAAATGTTGACGTTTAGGTGTATTAAATACAGTACTGTGTACCAGCTTTAGGCTCTAAAAGTAAAGTGAGGATGTTTTCAAAAATGATGCAGGATGTAGTTTTTATTCATCAGTTAACTACAAGGTGGAATATGAAGGAAAAGACTAAAATAAATGTGTGTTTGGTGTGAGCACCCTTTCTAAGCCAGTCTCGTCATCTAAAGTGTCTAAGACTTTTGCACAGTACTGTATATGTGGAAGTGAACGTTAGCAGTGTGAGACGTGCACACACCCTGACTGACAGAGCTGTAGCTGTAGTTAGAGGTTAGTTGGTTAGAGAGGGGCAGGGTGAGTAGCAGTGATGGTCTGTCTGTCTCTCTTTACCCTGCAGCCCCCCCGACCCACCCCGCCCGCTGCTTGAGGAAGCACCGAACACGGACCTCAAGCCCCCTCCTATACTCCTACCCCAATGACATAGTGTTTGATTTTGAGCCCGAACCTGTTTTCCGAGGTAGTTAGGCCTCTGTGTGTTCCTCTGTTCTTCAACCCCCCACACACATACCCACACACCAGCCTCAGCCCTGTGTCACATCCTCTGTGTTCCCCTCCCTGGCTCTGCTGCACACCTCACAGGTTAGAGATCTCACTGCTGCTCTGATCAGACACTACTCATTCTGTGGATGGTGGTTTCTACGATAAAAATGCGCCTTTGTTCAAATATTTGTTAAATACAGCGAAGATTTATCAAAAGGTAATATCATAATTAAAATAATAGTAACAACTGGACCTGCTTCTTTTCTTAAGTGTATGTTACTTTATGATTTATTCAAACCAAATGCACGTAAGGTAGATAGATAGATACTTAATCATCCCCAAGGGAAAATTCAGATAGCTCAGGCTCAGCTCACAGGTACAGATAACAGGTAACATATAACAGATAAAAGACAACAACAGCAGCAACCAAGCATCAGAAGTGAGCTGGTGTTAGTCATGATAAATTATTAAAATACGTTAAACGGTTACAACCGTAGTCAATAAATAAATCGGCTAACAAATAATTAAAAACAAAAAGTTATAGTGATGATAATAATAAAAATAGTAGAGGGACATCAGTCCATTGCACGGTGCCCATGTGGGGGGACGGGGGGCAGCAACAAGAGCAAAAGCCTGAGTCATTATACAGCTAAGTCAGGGTTTGATATCTGACAGCCCCAGTAACAGATGTGACAGCTCTGTGCTGTAGCTGTTGAGGCACAAGTTAGTATTATGATGTTTTAGGAGTGTTAACTGTTACAGTGCCAACCAGCGCTCTGTTGTTTCTACTCAGTGTGCAACAGCTGAGCTACCTGTCTGAAACTGGCTCCATCTGGACTCACTGCTGTGTTTTAGAGCAACAAAGAAATTCAACCCCCAATCTGCCTGTAAAGACTGACATCAGTGAATTTCAGACACTAACAAACATCTTTGGCTGAGAGTAGAAAATACCGATGGAATGAGTTGGTCCGTACATGCAGAGAGTAGAAGAACCAGCAGCAGAACTGATGTCAGCCACAGCAGCATGCTAACACGCTGCTATCTGTACGGGTCAGACTTTGAGTTGAAGCTCTTGTAATTTGTAAATTTTGCTCTGTTAAAAAGTTCTGACCTGAAAGCCCACTGGTGGCTTTGAAAGACATGTTATTATTATTTTTTTAATGCCAAAATGACAATTTATCTGTAAAAACAAAACAAATCCTCACATCTGCTGCCTTCTGATGCCTGTTTAAATAATCACATTTAATGTGTCGTTGTGTTGGTAAATTTAATAAAGTCTAAGGTCAGATTCTTGATTCACGGTTTTCATAACTCGTGTAAACATTTACCAGAAGTAAACCATTAGTTTTTTTGGGATGCTGTTTAATATATAAGATGAGATACAGCTGACTTGAGGAGCAGCCAGGCCACAGAAGAACCGGTAATTACAGATACATGACCCAAATAGACTCCAGACAGGATTAAAACCACTGCTCATTCATCTTAGAATCTAGAGATGAAGATGTCATAAAATGCTTTGTGATCATGACAGGCTCAAATTCAAGTTTATTAAACCATTAACTGCCATCCAACCAAGCACTCCCTCACCTGTCCTCTGCATGTGACCAAATACCTACACAGAACTGATACAGAAGCCTCAGTCTCTGTCCTCTTCCAAGTTTCCACTTTCTTTCCTCTCACCTTCTTTTGACTGGTCGCTTCCACTCTCCTCACCTCTACTGTCTCTCGTCTTCTCTAGGCTCCACCACAGGGCTGTCGGCCACGCCTCCCGCCTCTCTGCCCGGCTCTCTGACTAGTGTCAAGGTCCCACAGAAGTCACCATGCCAACAGAGGGAACGCAAGTCGTCCTCCTCATCCGAGGACCGCAATAAGATGGTGAGGGACTGTCAGTGTCACTAGTGTTGTGCTGCACTTTGTTGTGTGCTTGTGTTGACTGCGTGTCCTGTGGAACAGAAAACCCTGGGGAGAAGGGACTCCAGTGACGACTGGGAAATCCCAGAGGGTCAGATCACTCTGGGTCAGAGGATAGGCTCTGGATCCTTTGGAACTGTCTTCAAGGGAAAGTGGCATGGTAAGACTCATGTGCCCCTCTAACCATATGCCCGATCCTTTGTTCATATTCACTGTCACTCCAGTGTTGTAACAGCAGCATCTTGGCGTAAACGAGAATAAAGAGCATTGTGATTTTTTCAGTCTAAAATAGCAGGACTAAGTGAATCAAGATGTTACTGAAAGTTTAACTGGGAATCGAAGGTCAGCATTTCTAGTGGTTGCTGTGGCCCAGGTGGTGGTGGGGGTTCGTTCACTCCTCACAGAGCTGATGGCTATGATGCACTGAAGTCCAGTCACTCGTAGCAGGAACTCAGCTGTAAACAGATGATAAACTAATTATTAAGATCACAAATATAAGGCACTTTTAAACTTTGCATACGGCAGCTCAGTGGGTGTTTACATTCAGTAACAAACCCCAGAGGGGCACCGTGGGTGCTCATGCATGTGTGTGCACTACCTGGGCAGTGTATGTGTGTGTACGCTTTGGCACATGTCTGACTGATCCGTCCTGCCTCTGCTCACAGGTGATGTGGCAGTGAAGATGCTGAATGTCACTGCTCCCACGCCGCAGCAGCTTCAGGCCTTCAAGAATGAAGTTGGAGTCCTCAGGTAACTTCTGTCTTGTCCTCCTTAATCAGGAACATCTGATTTCCTTCATGCACCTGCATATACTACTCTACACTAAGGAGCATCATATTAATGAAGTATTCTCCATTATCTAAGTTCTTTTGACCTGCTGCTGTGATGTAGTTTGATCAAGCTGTGTGTGCTTGCACCAGGAAAACACGTCATGTGAACATCCTGCTGTTCATGGGCTACACCACCAAGCCCCAGCTGGCCATTGTGACCCAGTGGTGCGAAGGTTCCAGTCTATACCACCACCTGCACATCATCGAAACCAAGTTTGAGATGATCAAGTTGATCGACATCGCCCGGCAGACTGCTCAGGGCATGGAGTGAGTTAGCCGCAAACACAAAAGCAGTCGAGTTTGACCTGTTCTTCTATCTGATGACGTTTCTCTTTCTGTCCTCAGTTACCTGCACGCCAAGTCCATCATCCACAGAGATCTGAAGAGCAACAGTATCCTTTTGAAATATTTCACTCAGTTAGTTAAACCATAAGCTAAAGTCAGCATCTGCTGCTGATGATGATAAGATTTACCTTGACAAGCAGGGATGAAAATAAAAACCTCTATCCTTGGACTACCTCTACGTAAGTGCGTAGCAGTAGATAAATAGAACATTTCCTTGACCTCTTTACTTCCAGATATTTTCCTCCACGAGGATCTGACGGTAAAGATCGGGGACTTTGGTCTGGCCACAGTCAAGTCCCGCTGGAGTGGCTCCCATCAGTTTGAACAGCTGTCTGGCTCTATACTATGGATGGTCAGTAGGGGTGTTAATAATTCATCATTAATTGATTACTTGCAGTTATTAATTTGACTGATCAAAAATATATTAACCGATAAGACAGAAGACGAAGGACACGCATGTTAGAAAATGTATCGTACGTTAGCTGTAGCACCTGGTTGTTCTTACTGTTTGGCGCTGGAGCGACCTGAGGAGAAGTCGCTCGGGCTGCTGTTGGCAAGCAGAGAGCAAGTTCACCGTGTAAACTGTAACCATGACCAAGTGCCCTGTAACACTGAACGACTACTGAGCAGCTCTCTCACTCAGCAGAAATGTGTTTATTCAGCCTCACAGCTTCCTTCACATGTGGTTATTTCTGTCGGTATTGTTGCGCTCTAAATGAAGCCCTTACAGCCTGACAGTTGCACTTTGAATCCAAATGAACATTCCTTCTTCTCAGTTGAACTGCTTTTAGTATTATATATACATAATACGTGTGTGTGTGTGTGTGTGTGTGTGTGTGTACCGTCCAGCATCCCGAAGTGCTTCAATTCGTACTCAGCTCTCCACATTTCACCATTTTAAACAGGAATGAGGAATTTCAAACTGAATTCACCTTTTTATACCCAAACCTGATCCACTGGGCCTCTGAGGAGTCAGAAATGAATCAAGCATTACATTCAATTCAATTCAATTCAATTCAATTTTATTTGTATAGCGCATATTTACAACAACAAGTCATCTCATAGCGCTTCACAAAGGCAGAAACAGAAACACCCAACAATCCAAAACATCTGGATTCCCTATAAGCTTCAGCAGTCCGCAAGCAGTCCACAACAGTGGGAAGGAACCGAAAACCCCCGCAGGGGGAAAAAAAAAAACCTCCGACAGAACCAGGCTCAGGGAGGGACGGCCATCTGCCTCGACCGGTTGGGTGGATGTAGGATGAATCACATTCAACCACTAAACTAATTATTCTTTTCTGGAATGCAAGTAAATAACTGTACTTTGACATCTTAATGAAGAAATAATTATGTGCTTTACTGTTTTTTCATTAAAAAAAAAAAAAATAAATAAATTATAAAACTCATGGACAACAATAATAATAATTCGATTTTAGCATAAAAATGATCATTTAGGTTAAAGATCTTCTACACACTGGTGAATTAACCGTTACAGAAACATAAGAGATGATTTTGGTGATTAACAGTCACAACTTACCATCTTCACACCTGTTTGCGTAGACATGCTGATATCTATAGCATGTCTGGATTGCCACCTCTGTAGCAGGACACTGTGTGTGTGTGTGCGGTACTCTCATCATTTTAGAAGTTATACAGTGTGTCACCATCTTTGCTCTGACACTGACAGATTCCACACACGTGTTCCTTATACTGACCAAAATAAACGTTTAAAAGTAAAGTTTGTGGTTTTACCCTTCGTTAGTGGGCTGGGCTGATAGGGTAAAAGTAGTAATAACATTTTTAAATAGGAGTACTAACATCAGCCTGTACATGGAAGCAAACACACTTTTTTTCAATAGAGTTCAGAGCTGTAATAGTCAGGTATAAAACTCAGGCTGAGATTGTGTGGTGTTCTTTGGCTGGTGTGACAGTCGGTGTATCCTGTGTCCTGTCAGGCCCCAGAGGTGATCCGGCTGCAGGACAAGAATCCCTACAGCTTCCAGTCGGACGTCTACGCCTTCGGCATAGTGCTGTACGAGCTCATGTCAGGAGCCCTGCCCTACTCCAACATCAACAACAGAGACCAGGTGAGAGGACCAGACCCAGAGGCTTTAATAAACCAACATGTTACATCCCACCACCATGGTACATGGTCTGTAGGACATGTTGCTGTAACTCAACGTTGATATGTAGAAACATCATACACTAAACTGCAGGTGCTTTCTGTGGAGTAGATGGTCTGATTAGATTTTGGTGCTTAGCTGCATAAATGGGCACTTCAGTTTAAAGTTTGGTTTGCTTCAGCAATAGCCGCAAAGCAGTGGGTGGTGAAGCCGACTTTGTAATCGTAGTAACTTCCTGTGGGGCTCAAATGATTTGCTTCTCAAAGCAGCTCAGCCAACAGCATGTTGGGCGGCTGTGGATCAGGTGGTGCAGCGGATCGGTCAATGATCAGAAGGTCGGTGGTTCCATTCCACCCTGTAACTTGTGTCATGGTCATTGTGTCCTTGGGCAAGACACTTCACCACCTGCCTGGTGTGGATGCGTATGAATGGATTGTTGAGGTGGTGGTCGGAGGGCAGAATGGCAGCCAGGCCTCTGTCAGTCTGCCCCAGGGCAGCTGTGGCTACAACTGTAGCTACCACCACCGGGGTGTGTGAATGAATAACTGACAGCGTGAAGAGTCTTTGAGTGTCTGGAAAAGCGCTGAATAAATCTGATCAATTATTATGTATTATTGTCCTGTGATGCACACCCACCCATGCGGGGAGTTTTCTGTGTGAAATCTTACACGCTGTAGTGTTGCAATGCGTACTGATTCTCAAGAAAGGCAGCGGTTTTATCATATTGCGCCCTGGATGGACACATCACTGACCGCTGCAGCAGGAGGCGACCTACTGCTGCTGCTTCAGTCTGCTCTGTGTGCCTGAAGCTTTTCCAGCAGCTCCACTGTCCTCATGTCAGCTCTGGGAAATGAAATTCACTTAAATTAGGTTCAGTTCAGTTTAATTTATATAGCAGTGATTCACAACATAGGTCATCTCAGGACTCCTCATAAAGGCAAATACCCTACAGTATAGAAAACAACTTTTAACAGGAAGAACCTTCCAGCAGAGCCAGGCTCGAGGAAGGTGGCCACCTGCCTCAACCTTTATAGGTTGGATTTATAGAGGAGAGAGAAAAGCAGAGTTCCTTCCACTCTGTTCTTTTGGAAACTCTGGAGCCCATAACTAATAATAATAATAATAGGAATAACTAATGGCATGTAATGACAACAATAACAATAAACTTTATTCCTAAAGCACCTTTCAAACCTGGAGTTACAAAGTGCTTTACAAAACATCAGGAAAAAACAATGCAACCTTTAAAAGGCCAATAACTAAGCATCAGACGAGGAGTAGAAGTTCTAGAAATGCTCGTCTGTACAGGTGGATTTTAAAAGCCTTTTGAAACTGAGCCGTTGATTGAGCTGTTCTGACAGTCAGGGGCAGCTTGGGGCTAAAACAGTAAAGGCATGGTCGCCCTTAGTTTTCAGTCTGGACTGTGGGATGCTTAACACAAGCTGGTTTATAGATCTGAGGGGGTTGAGGAGCAGAATATGGTTTCAGAAGGTATATGGAGTGGGGCCAGACTGAGTAGAGGTTTAAACGTATCAACAGAATCTCAAACTGAATTCTTAAATGAATGGGGAGCCAGTCCATTTCTGCCGAGATCAGGCTGAGGTGCTCCTGCATGGAGTGTTTGTGAAACGGTGTGGCTGCTGAGTTTTAAAGGAGCTGTAACTGGCTGACTGTTGAGATGTGGACGCAGGTGAACGGTGAGTTGCAGTCGTCCAGGCAGCAGAGAATGAGGGTGTGGATACGGTGCTCAGTTATGTTTTTGGGGAGAATTGGTTTAATTTTTTATAGTATTTCTGAGATGTATGTCCCATGATTGGACCACTAAGGGATTTGTAGGTTAGTATAAAGATTTTCAAATCTATTGTGGAACCAGTTCGAGGAGGAGCTAACAAAAGCAACGTATGATCTCTCATGCTGGTTCCTCAATGCATCATATGCATATACTTGCAGTGCATATAAACAAAAAGAAACTCCTAAATTTTCAAATACAGGAAGATCAATGAGTTCCGACGTTAACCATTTCATTAACTTTACAAAGTAAAGAGTACGCTGCGCTGCACAGACGTGGGGTGATGATTAAAGCTATGTACTCTCCAGCCATTTGGTCAACTGCTGCTGTGGCTATAAAGTCAGAGCACCATCTGGTTGGTCATTCAGAATTTCAGTTTCACTTTCATATCACAGGGCAGCAGGATTTAGTGGTTTTTTGTTTGTTTGTTTGTTTTTTTAAAAGAAAAACAAAAATAGCACAGATAAGAGTACCGTTAAAGTACCGGATGGATGAGCAGCATCAGTTAGAGCCGTAGTACTGTTAACACCTGAACGATGCCTGTCTAGTGCTGGGAGGCCGACTGCTGACATTTCAAATGAGTGAGGACAGGGAACGCTGACCTCCATCTGGCTGAAGGTAGTCAGCTCCTCTGTCAGTGGATTCAGGTAGCGACCATGTGACTGTGTGAAGGTACAGGTGGTTCGCTGACCTGCTGTGTTACCATGTAGACAGCTGCATTCACTGGCAGCTCTGAATGTCGCTCTGGTGTCTAAACGTTCACTACAGAGCCAGAGTCAGATGTTAATTAAAACATCCGAGAAAAGCCTTTTAACTGTGTAGTAATAAAATCACAAGAGTAAACCACGTGGAAGTGTCCCGCTGTCCAGTTTGATTTCCCAACATTAACGTCACCACATCGCAGTCTGATTTACGCCGTAAACCAAAAGGACAACAACTCGTACCTTCTCTTCCCCAGATCATCTTCATGGTAGGACGAGGATACCTGTCTCCTGACCTCAGTAAGGTGCGCAGCAATTGTCCGAAGGCCATGAAGAGACTGATGGCTGACTGCCTGAAGAAGAAGAGAGAAGAGCGACCTCTCTTCCCTCAGGTTAGAGACAAATGGTGACGCTTTTACATGTCACATTAAACACAGAGGCACCACATCTGAATGACTACTTTCTTTCTAATATGTTCTTTCTTGTACCTCATTCACTGAGAGAACCAGATGTTCATTTAAACAGCTGATGAGACAAGATATTTCCACGTGAAGACATAGTTTGTCATATATTAGTAAGACATTTTGCATTTAATTGAAACTCAACATTTCCTTCAGGTGTACACGCTCTTTTGATTTCCACAACACTAACTTCATCAGTGAAACAGCAGATTGACCTGGGCAGGTAGAGGTTTGTATGTACAGTTGCTGCTGTCGCCAGCAGAGGGCGTTAGAAGTTTCCATGTTGAAATCAGCAGCTGAATTGAAGCAGTTACTTGTTCCTCATGTGTTGGTGGATTTAGCTGGCTTGTGTTTAGTTGTGGACAGTAATCCCACTGGTTCTGACTAATGACCCCTGGGGCTGTGCGCTGTGTTTTTTTTTCCCAGATCTTGGCATCCATTGAGCTGCTGGCTCGCTCATTACCCAAAATCCACCGCAGCGCCTCAGAGCCTTCATTAAACCGAGCCGGCTTTCAGACAGAGGACTTCAGCTTGTACGCCTGCGCCTCACCTAAAACCCCCATTCAAGCTGGAGGTTACGGTGAGCTGATGCTAACACGTCACTAACGGTTGTCCTGAAGCTCCTCTCCTGACGTTCATTAAACATTCATGGCTCTTAACAGAATTACTAATTTATCAGCTTTTCCATCCAAATAATCCCTCCATGGCTGAAAATGAATTAGCTATAACTTTACACCTCTACACAACAATTTCAACAATTTCCCGGAGGTTTCCACCAAAGGGATCAACAAAGTTCTATTCTATTCTTCACCTACCGTAATGTCTGGACCATTGAGGCACCTGAATATAAGCTCCACCCACTGACTTTAAACAGAAAACCAGGTGTGTTCATATACAGGCTGCACTAAGCTGCAGGTGTCCACGTTGGAACATGGGATGTTTACACAGAAAGATGTTTAAGCTTTTAATTAAATCCGTAGCGGTAACATACACAGATACTTACCGTAGATGCTTTTTTCTGAACAGTTCCTGTAACACGGCTAGAGGAGGGAAATAAAACTCCGGCAGCCGAGCAGGAAAAGTCACTGATGGCTATCTTCATCTTCCTCCTGCACTAAAACCACTGAAGTCGTCTTCTTCAGTGTCTTCAGGAGCTGAACAGCCTCAGAATCACTTCATCACTTCCTCAGTCTCTCTGTCGTCGCTCTCAGCGTCACTTTGGTCTTGAGGCGAATTTGTAAAAATCCATAAATTAGCCGCATCATTGTTTAAGCCGCAGCGTTCAAAGCGTGTGAAAAAAGTAGCGGCTTGTAGTCCAGAATTTATGGTATCTTTCTTTTAGTATGTGTGGATCGACAAACATTCAGTTTAGTTTCTACCTCTATCTGGAACCACCCGTGTGCTGCTCACCTTCAGCCCGGCTCAGACACTGTAGAACCACAAGAATACTGTCACTGAAAGAGCCAGTTCACTAAATGACCGGATTGTTTCCTCAGGTGTCACAAATGAAGCTGTCAGCTGTAGCATATAGGGCTGCCACTAACCACTACTTTTACTATTTCATCGACTAGTTGAAACGATTAATTGTTCTCGTTAAAATCTGACTGACCATTTAATTAATACACTTTTTATTTTGGCAAAGTGTATTCCAAAGGTTACACAAAGAAATGAGCTTAAAATAAAGGCATTAAAAACCCAACACACACACACACACACACACACACACACTGGCGTCAGTTAGAGTTGAATAAACCCATATCCCAGCCTAACGATTAAACACTGGTGTAATTCTAAGGAAGCAGGCAGATGGCTGTAAAGAGTTTTATGTATATTCGGCAGCTACAAGGACAAAACATATTTTAAAACTCTCCCTGCTGATAGACAGACTACACTTCCTGTTCTGGCGGTGCATCTTCCAGGGCAGAGCTGTGTTTTTCTCGTCAGGTGTTTGCACGTTGCGCTACGAATGCTGTCGTATGTCGCTGACACTCTGCGCAGCATACGAACGCTACTGTTTGTCCTGTGATCGTTTTAAGTACGGCCACACTTTCGAGACCTTGAGTCTTTGGAAACTTCAACCCTGAACTGAGTCAGACGCTGCTGTTGCCACTATTTTCTAGAACTGTAGCGCTGAGTGCAGCCAACCACTGACTGGAGCCAAAAACAGGTGATGTCATGACACAGTAATAACACAGTAAGATGGAACAAAAACCTTTGTTAGAATGAGTTGAAACATTTTTAGGAAAAGCTAAAAAAAAACAAACAAGATGTGTCTAATAAAAATGCTGAGTCATGATAAATGCGTTGACTGCTAGTCTTGCTTACATGTCGGCCATCACAGGAAAAACCACACGAACATGTTAACCATGTTACAAACCGAAAACCTAATTCTCATTGAACACAGTAGATATGAAGTTCTCTATGATTCAATATATTATCTAACCAGCCCTGCTTGAAAATTGTAAGACGAGGAAACAGGAAAAGCACACACACAAACCTTTATGAACCCTCAACAACAACAACCAGAGTTCATGTGTGATGGTCCGTTAGTGGTCGGATAATGGTCTTTATATCAGCCAGCTGAAGTTCAAAGCAGTCAGGAGGTCTGTGGCAGCTTCTGGAAAGATCTGGTGAAGCTTTTTTTACTTTCAGGAAGATGATTTATCCCAAAACTGTAGCTGATGCACCTTAATAAGTGGTTGTTGCCAGATGTTCCACAGTTCATATCTGCATGTGATGATTAGCAGGTTGGTGTTCAACCTGTGATCAGTACTGCACTGACTGATGTGGGAAGGTTGAGCTGCGTTGAGCACACTTCAGTTCTCTACGCTCACACAGACAGACAGTCCTGTAGAATAATGAACAATAATGAATAATGGTTTCTCTTTATTATAAAACGTGTATTTCAGTAATCAATTGCAGCCATTTTGAATGAAAGAATGGCAAAGCAGCGTGTTCACATGTTCCTCTCACTGTCTTCATACACACTGATAGCTCTGCATGGTTGCTTGGTTTTGTATTGGATGACATCACATTCAAGGTGGTTTCTACGTTCACGGTAATCACTGGTTTAGCTTCTCATTAGGGTCCACCTAATGAGAAGATGCCAGGAGCAAACTGCTACACCTGATGAACACGTAGCACTGCCATGGCTGCTGCAGCAGTGCCAGCACACTCATGTCTCTTTCTCTTCATCATTTTTCAGGAGAGTTTTCAGCATTTAAGTAAGTGCTGCGGATCCCACCAATCCATCCCTCGTCACTTCTCAAAAGTCTTGTGTCCCTGCGGTGGATTCATTCATTACTGAAAACAAACTGAAAAATTTGTCTTGAAGAATGTGCTGTTTTCTTCCTCTGTCACCCTGAAGACGGCGGCCTCACTGGAGTCCTTCCAACAACAAGCTATCCAGCAGGCTAATGGCCACAGCGACGGAGAATTAGGAAAAAGTACAAAACAAAAAAACAGCCTTGATTTAAACAAAAAGTTAAACAACAAAAAAAGCAAAAAAAAACAGATAAACTAGACTCAAAGATATCCATACCAGAGGAGAGGGGGAACTCCACGGATCAACTTCCCTGCTGGAAGGAAAAGATGAAGACAAAGAGAAAGGACGTGGAGGTGAATGAAGGAGCATCTGGTCCTGTCATTTTCTGTGTGGATGAGGACGGAGGCTGGGATATCGGCCAGACGTTGAACTGGACTTTGAGCGACGGCAGAACGGGTCTGTGGAAGGAGAACAGGCCTCCCATCCGTCGGCTGATTGAAGGCCAGGCGTGGGCCCATACCTGAGGGGGAGCTGGAGGGCGCTCAGGGGGGTTCACCCCGACAGAAGAGGACTTGAAAGATAGATCTATTTTTATTTTTTCATTTGTTTCTCATGTTTCAGATTTTAGCTAACAGTTGCTAGGAATGCTAAGCTTTTTGTCCTCTGCATCTTTTTGAAGAGATGGTAGACATCTTAGAAGAAAGCTTTCCTCCTGGTCGAACAGCACAGGCCTTTGCTTTTTTTCTTTCTTTCTTCACTTTTTTGGCTTACTGCGGACCAAATTCTGCAACGTACTGTAGTTTGCCCCTCTTGTTTGCCTCCAACAAATTTGAAGCCCACGATTAAAGAGAAGAAGCTCAGAACAGATTTTTCTCTCTCAAAAAAAAAAAATGGAACTTGTGAGTGAAGTGAAAGCAGGAGAAGCGGTTCTTTTCATGTGTTTCTGCTAGAAAAGTCCACAGCCTGCACTTTTCTACCAACAGCAGGAGCTGTTCTTTGAGAGAAGAAAATGCTCGTTTATTTGGGAGGGGGATCTACATCAAGGTTTTTTTTAATTACATTTGAGATGCCTGTCCTTCACCTACACATGGTGTTAATATAGTGAGCTTTCACACTTCACCTTTTAAAGGATTTCATGTTTATGCACAGCTGAGAGTGTGTACAGTACTTGTGGCTTTTCTGAGCTTCCAAGATGTTACACAGCATCTTTGCAAGAAAGCTTTTCCTTTGCTTGTCATATTTTCCCCAGATTTTTTTATTTTTTTTGACACCAAGTGCATGTTGTTGTACTTTTTTTTGGATCATACTGCTTTCTTGTTGCACTCAGCTAAACATGGGGACCTTACTTGTTGCAGCTGCTGATTAATGCGTTACCTGCTGAAGGGACCGGTGATCTTCTGAAGACTTCTGTTAGTCTTGAAAAGTCAGGAAATGTTATCTCAATCACACCTTTTACTTTCTCTATACACATGCACTTGTACTTTTTCATTCCAGCATGTGTTAAGGGTTGTAGGTTCTATCACAGGTTCTTTTTATTTTGTTATCGTTGTCGTTTGCCTTTTTCTGTACAGGCAGGCCTGCAGATATTTACTTATTTATGTGAATTTATTTTGTTAGTTTGTTTTATGGATTTATTTTCAGAAATGCTTTATTTGAAGCTGTCAGTCTTTCTTTTGACGCTTGTTATCGTCTTTGTGACTCGTATACTTGCACTTTGTTGAGATGGATTGAAGCAAATGAGCAACTTGCCTTTCCTTTTTTATTGAAGAATAAATTGTGACATACAGAGCAGGTGACTGAATGCGTTATCTGCAGGGGCTGGACTAAACGTTTCGCTGTGAAGGCTCAGTTATCACCTGAGGACTGTTTGTGCTAAAGCCTCCAGCAGCGAATGTGCCGCCGTACCTACAGCGGTGAGAGCTGAGCGAATGAGACTGCTGGCCTGATGTTGTGCAGCACGCAGTTGACGCGTCCATCCAAACGCTGATAGATACATCGTCGGTGTGATCATGTGTGTATTTCCATCATAAACCCAGGCAACCCCACCCACAGCAACTTACCTGTTCTCCTACAAAGTTGTTCCATCTTTGTACATCCAGGACAGAGACAGAGACTTACCACAGTCCTTGATGGCCAACTCCTCTAATTTACTGAAAGGCTTATGAAGTGTGCTACAAGAAACATGTTGACAATACTAACTGGTGGGAAATGTTCGTAGCAGCTTAGGTGTTGGGGAAAACCGTACTGGATCGGTGCACGGGCTCAACCACTGGTTTTATAAGGGGAGGTCAGTCGTGAGCGAGGAAGAGTTTCTCCTCCATCTTTAAATTCACGTTATTTGCAGCTACTTCTTTTTAAATTGTTTTCACCCACATGTCACTTTTTTTTTTTTAAAGCTTATTAATAGCTGAGACGATTTTCTCACATCCAGTGAGTTTGTATTGTCAACATTCTTCTCGTTGCACATTTTAGAAGCTACTCTGTGAATGAAATGTTAGAACTGACTCTGCAAGTCTAACTGGGGAAAAAAGAAAAAAAACTAAACAAAGGACACATTCAACCAGTCCCAGAACATCAGATCTAAAGTGTGTCTGGACAAGATGCACCAAAATGACTTTATATGAACGTATCACGCTGCTGTAGGGGGTTGATGAGGGGTTTCCTAAAGCACTGATAATACAAAGAATAAACTAAAGTACATCTGTGTGAAGATTGATGTACTTCAGTTGACTTTGCAGCCTGCTGTATGTTGCCTGGCTGCAAGGTTGGGGCAAAACTCTGAGGATGCTTCAAGGTTTATTAGAGGCTGCCGTATCGTTCTCTTTGCTGACTCAGCATGAAGACTGCCTGTGAACGCTACTGATTGTGACAAATGAGATGGTTGTGATGCTAATGAACAGTCTGACAGGTTGGAAACAAACCTCCAGCTTTCTCAGACTTTTTGGTAGAGCACCAAAGGGAACAGGAACCTTCTAGTCCAGGCTGTATGTAACTGTACACTACTTACCCAAACACCTGATGGACCAGTTTGTTAAAACAAAAACAAAAAAAGTGGAGCAATTAGCCGCTGAAGAGCCGCTGAACATTTTTCTCACCAGACCTAGAAGGTGAGTGAATTTTTAACTCAACAGTCATCCGATGAAATGGATGCTAATGTTGCTATGCTTTCACTGGATGTGCAAACAGCAGGAGAATTTAGGCCTTTTGTTTGTTTCTATGAGGTGGCTGTAATGTGGAGTCTTGATTGATGCATTGTCCATTATAGACACTTAAAGGAATCATTCAGTCATCTAAACCATCATCATCTTAGCAGGAATGTCTGCCAGTCTGAGTGAGTGTTGGCCATCTTGTTGGCTCATATCGGCCTTTGTTGGTGATTTCAGTGAGCGTCACCTGGAACTAAGAAGCAAACAGCATCCTGTCACTGCAGCGTCTGGTTTCACCTGCAGCTCTTCAGACACAGTGAACCCCACTACGACTCCTATCTCCCACATAGCGTTCATGCTAGGGTTAGACTGACGGACAGAGAGGATGTGGGCCGTTTAATAAACATTACATGTTGTCCTGCCACAAGGAAGCTTCCACAGCTGTCAGTAGCATCACAACACATCTAAGGACTTGTTTGGCTTGTGAAAGAGACCGAGTCTCTAGAGGTGTAAGTGCAACGAAGCTCTTGACATTTTTTAGAATAATAAAGTTGCTCTGTCATCAGCACAGATAGGATTCCAATGACACAGGTCGCTATGGCGCAGGATGAGGTTGTGGGAGGACGGGAGTTTTGACTGAAGACTAAAGCTGCAGTTTTTGGGCTGAGAATTAGGACAAAGTGGTGACTTTTTGTTGTTGTCACAAAGGCACCAAAAGACACAAAATGTTAAAAGGTGAAATGAGGAAATAGATGGTTGCATGTACATGATACACGACTGCACCACCAGTGGGTCTTGAGCTCGCTATACTGGGATCAAACTGGTACAAAAATCTGTTTTGAAGTATTCAAATTTAAATTGTATTTCAGACTCGAGTTAAATTCTAGCTTCCATCAGTCCCTTTACTTGTGCTGTTCATGCGGCCTGTCATGCTGAGGGCAGAGGGTGGTTCATTTTGACGGGTTGTCAGTCACACAATGCAAACATGTACGGGTCAGTTCACCGAAATGACTGGAAATGTTTTCTCATTCATCATCTATTCATTTTGAAAAATGTTGTGTCAGTGGTAAGATCTCTGTCTGCAGTCTGATGGGTAACGCAGAGTTCCTTCTCAAGAAAGTTATATGGTGTGTTTTATCATCAGCTTCGGCTGCAGATGGAGCACCAAGTCCTGCTTCTGCTGGTCACTTGTTCTCAGTTTACCAGACTCCGTCTTTATGTTAAGGTTTTACGGGGTTAAGTATTGGTCCCTATGAAATGTGGGTTGACTTTGACAGTTCATTTTCACCTTGGAAGGAGTGGCTGCCAAAACAAGCTCACTTTGACTGTTACATGCAGTTTGGAAGTTAAAGAATGAACTGCCAAGGTCAGGTTTTACAGCCACACAGTCCCAGAGATACTCAGGTCACGACAAGTTTAAGCATCAAAACAACTTCCACTGATGGAACGTGATACAGCGAAGAGTTAGAAAGGACGTGAACCCCGAGTGGAAACAGAGTTTCTGCTTTGCAAGTCAGCCTCACAAGACAGAGCACATGGCCTTCGTCCTCTTCTGCAGGCAGCAGCATCCTCCACAGAGCTGTGTGTGCAGATGGCAGTGGCAGCTTTCTGCTGTCCTGGAATCAGCTGTTGGCTCACATGACGGAACCCTAGGAAACAAACAGTAATACCTTTCAGAGTGCTGTATTTGTTTTCCTTTGCGATCTTTATTTTCTATGAGAATTTTATCACAGATGTATATCTGCTTGAGCTTCATAGAATCTACAGCAGCCAACGCTGAGCTCCGTGACTGCGGCTCCTCTCTCCTCCAGCCTCCTCTTATCTCGCCACTCGCCCTCTGCTGCTCCTCCTCATCCAAGACTTTCTGTTCAGCCTTTATCTACTTTCATGTTCCTTTTTCTTCTTTAACATTCTCTCCATCCTCCTTGCCTGCACCTTAAACCCAACAATTCCATTCAACTGTCATGTAAAACTATATGGAGATTTGTTTTGTTTTCACCTGTAAATAGTTGTACAAAGGAAATACTGTCAGTTTGCTAGGAGGCATGGAGACTACACATGTAACAAACTACAAAATGTTCAAAATACAGAGACAGACATTTTGATAGGCAGACTTCTGAGAAACACAGTTGAGTGTAAAAATATTTAAGGCTGTATTATAAGGAGAAAGAGCTTAATGTATTTGTTGTGAATATGAAAAACTGATATATTAAAGAAGTGCATGAAAACTGTAGCTTGGCTGTTGGTTCATTTGTATTGTGGTGTGTGAGGAGTTGCTTTGTTTCTCAGGCTTGGAATTGCTTGCAAACCACACGGTGGCAGCATCTACCACTGGAACATGCACAGAAACATCTGCTGCTGCTGCATGCACTCTTTAACAGTCCTGTCAGATTACAGGATATCTCAAATGGTTTTATGTTCAATGACGAGTCTGAAAAACTAAAGCCAGAGTTGCTTTGACATTCTCAAAGCTAATGATAATATTTATACACACAGTACATGACTGCTGGGCTTGCAGGTCGTCCTCTCTGCAGGTCTTATGAAGGGCTGTGAAACAATACATGCTGGAATCAATTAAATCTGATAAAACATAGTTACATGAATGAACACATAATGGCCTAATCCGAACATAAGTATATGTGTTTAAGCATCTTGGGTTCTGTTGATTTGGGGCGCTGCTGACCTGCTGCAAAAAAAATGTGGGAAGATCAGATCCAAATTAGTGCCTAAAGCTTTGGGTCGTTTAATTCTTGAAAGTAACTGGGGGTTACCTGGGAAGAACTACTGCTGTCTAGACGTTTTTAGGATTTACTTGGTGTACTTCCAATTCATTTGTTCTTATGAACTGCACCTGTAACATGAAGAGGAATGGCTCCAAGCAGGGCAGCTTAAGATGCACATGTGAAGTAGACCCAGTTTCTAGTCATACCTGTTTGTCACAACTAAAAACCAACAACAGTCGCTCCACTTCATTTCTGTTGTTCCTGTATTGGTTCAACTTTACACATTCCTGTCCAGTGACACTAGTTTTTCTCTTCCTCTGTATAAAATCTGACCATCCTGCACTGACATAAGCTTTTCGAATAAATTCTGCTACCTGAATCTTGACACCTTGCAGCATTGGAGACGTTTTATTTTTCCCTTATGGTTCTCAAACAGATCAGAGTTTCTCTCACTGCAGACAGTTGTGATGCCGTGACAGGACAGGCTCAGGTTGTACCAGTGATGATAGCTCCATTCCAGTGTAATGCTACCGTGAATGGGTTTATTCGTTACACCTGTGTTTAACATGCTAAATCTTAAAATTATTTTTTAAAACCAGATCAGCCCTACATTGGACATGCTTTTGCTTTCAAACTGCATTTATAAGAGCTGAACCCATGTGTGCATAGTAACGAGGTCCAAAAGGCCCAGAGACCTGAAAGACATGTTTATTGAGGAATTTGCAACACCAGGGCTCTTTGAACTAAACATACCAACTTTTTAAACCTCAGGCTAATCATGTTAACATTACGATCCAGCTATCACCAGAGCCTCTGCACAAAGTGACGATTACTAACGTGGCTTACATCAGGCTCACTAAAGTGACTTCTGAGATCTGTGGAAGAGCCAGGAGGGCAGGAGGTGGTGGAGCGGGTCATCTGCTGTTTCAAAGGATTGTGGGTCCATCGGTGCTACTTTGCCCTGTGTATTGTTTACATATAATTTTTGTGATTTTGACTAAAACATTTTTTTTAAACAAACTGTTGGTCTGCAAGCGCTGCAGGTGTCTCAGTGGTCAGCATCGTCGCCTCACAGCTAGAAGGTCGCCGGTTCACGTCCCGGTGAGGACACCCGGGATCTTTCTGCGTGGAGTCTCCATGTTCTCCCCGTGCAGCGTGGGTTCTCTCCGGGTTCTCCGGCTTCCTCCCACAGTCCAGAAACATGCTGAGGTTAATTGGTGATTGTAAATTGTCCGTAGGTGTGAATGTGAGTGTGCTTGGTTGTCTGTCTCTAAGTGTAGCCCTGTGATAGACTGGTTACCTGTCCAGGTGAACCTGCCTTCACCCTGAGTCAGCTGGGATAGACTCCAGCCCCCCATGACCCTGGTGAGGATTAAGGTGTAGAGATGATGGATGGATGCAGAGCCGGCCCTGGGCATGGGCAGTATAGGCAAACGCTAAGGGCGCCGACATCCACAGGGAGCGCCACAAGCTTACCCGGCTAACTGACATGTATTCAGGCTAATATTTATCAACAAGCGCCGATGCAGTTTCTCTACCTTTAGCAGCAAAGACGCTACGTTAGCGTCTTTGCTGCTAACATTAGCAGCGAAGACGTTAGACGTCACGTTAGCGTGATGGTAGAGAAACTGCACTGAAGTGAATACACATCAGTTAGCCAGTGTTGCTAAGACAACCCCCCCCATGTTAAATTAATTGATCGTAGTTACTGTCAGAGCAATGCTAACTTGTTAGCTTATTTTGGACGTTAGCAGCGTTGTTCATTATCACTAAACAGCTGTTATTGACTTACGTTAATATGCTCCCGCCACCTTAAATTAATCAGGGATATTTAGAAAGTCAACATCAGGCCTGTTCAGGTGGTATTTTAACCTGTTGAATGTATTTCCCTGCTGTCTGATATAAGGTGCTAAGTTTACTCCAGTATTAAAGTGCAGTTAATAGTTCATACTTTAGTTTTCTCCATATTATAATAAATGACACACATGTATATATATAAAGGGCTGCACAATGTTGGAAAAAACTGACATTGCAATTTCTTCTAACCCTGTGATATATATTGCAATATATTAAAAAATACAGAGACTTTCAACAGATAAACTGAAGCACTCTGAGTTCTGCTGCCCTCCTGCCATGTGGCTGACAGTGAACCTGCCCTGATCTCTCCTCTGTGTGTGGATGTGTGGATGGCAGTCGACCAACCTGTGAGCTTTCTGAGCTCTGCAGAGCTTCATCATGAAACTAACTGACAATGAGCGACAAACAGCTCAATCACATTGATATTCAACAACTGAAACCTTTTACAGCAAAACTAAAGATCTTTCTTTTTTTATCAAAAATGATTTAAAATCAAATGAGAGCAGCTCTGCATCAGATTCCTCAGTGGTCCACAGCCCCTTGTTCTGGAGATAGTAGAAAATAAACAAGCTATAGAACATTTTTTATATTTGTAGATGCCTTATTTATATGGTATTTTTAATTTAGGTCACTTGTTTCTTCAGTTTCATTTAGTGTGTTGCTTATACTGAAATAAAAGCTTGAATACATGCATACAGTTTGTGTTACTATGAAAATTAGGAGTGAAATTCACTGTGATGCTACAATCTTACCTCAGGCACCAAATTGGTCAGGGCCGGCCCTGGATGGATGATCGATGTTGGTCTGCAGTAATGTCCACAACACACATAAGGACAATATGACTTACAGTGTAAGCATTTTGGTTGTAACTAGAGGACTGGATCGATGACCACTGGGCTTTCTTAAACCTCCTGCCCTAAACCAAACAGATACATTTTCTACATTCAGAGCTGAGAACACAAACATGGAAAGGTGCAGCTGAGTTCAGTGGCTGAGCTATACTCATATTGTACATTCACACTACCACACAAACGTGAGAAGTCCACCTCCTCCACCCTGCTGAGCTGGTACATTTCCCCCTCCTTCTCTCTCTGTGGGTGTGATTGTGGTGACTGAGTGTGCGTGAGGATGCATGCTTCATGCTGATTGGATAATCACCTGAGAGAGGACACCTGCACCAGAGAGTGGTCAACCGACCAATAAGCATCTCATCCACCATTAGAGATAGGCTCTTCTCACCATTCAACGCTGGACCATGATGTGACAACAGTCAGTCGGCTCAGGCCCAGTTACTCAGTTCAGCTTCCTCACCTCGCTGCAGAACTGCACCCTGACTCAGGACCACCTGTCTGCATTCCAGCCTGAAAACCCAATGCCACCCTGCCTCTTCACCCACATGACCTGTGACCTCTCCCCATCTTCCTGCGTGCCAGTTAAGTAGAGGAGTCTAGCTTGTAACTCTTAGTGTTTCAGTCTCGTGCTTTGTTCTGATTGGCACTGCTGTGATATTTTAGTGTGACGTTTTAGTGCGCCTTCACTTCACTTTCTATTTCCTCTACTTCCCATAGAGGGTGCTAGTGTTCAACCCTGCAGTTCAGCTCCTTGTCTTCCTCTAACTCCCCATCATCTTTCTTTGCCGTCTCGTTTTGTATGTACATGTTGCATTTTATTTGTTAAAAATAAAACCTTTTTTGAATCTTAGCTGTTGTGTTCATGGTCTGCACTCGGCTCTCTGATTTCCCGTGACATTCTTGTGCAGCTAGCAGATAAGGCTGCAGTAGATAAGACCAAAGCACTAATAGTATTATTATCACATGTTAGCTACAGCATGGTGATAGCTGTGTGTCTATAAATAGTGCAGAGCATCACACCATGACCTGACTATCTCAATTTTCCAGCAGTGTTCAGACTGTCGACACCTCTAAAATATGATAATGCACATCATTCAACATATTTACAACCCTCCCTAAAATCACAGAGGCTGCCTGTCTTTCATATCATATTTTACATTTATCACCACCATGGTTACAATATGGACACCTTTTATTTATGACAGTAACAGCTAGAAGATCCTAATCCTCCCCCACACTGTGGCAGTCTAAAATACATTTGTCAGGAAAATGTGGGTGGGAGAAGATGAATGAATCACCCTCCCTCTCTCCTCGTCTACTGTTGAGGTGCCCTTATACAAAGGAGGCAGGTCCCGGTGGCTCCAGGGAAGCTGTTTACAGTATGTGTAAGGAAACTGAAAAAGTAGATGAAATCTTAAAAACAACATATGAACTGTCCTTCCTACTCTGTTTTATTTTACTGTGTCTCTGTGGACAATGACCCCATCTGACTCATCTATCTTCCACAGAAAACCCTCCTGTCCCCTATGTCCAACCTTAACCATGGCGCTATCACAACAGAAAGTGATCATTTAAATCCTTTATGTATTGGTCATTTGGGGTTTTAGATCTTAGATCGCAGACATGTCATCAAAAAACAGTTTGTTTTGTGAAATTGCAGTCTGGCCACACGACATCTTATGAGGGGTTTAATATGAAATGCAAATCTAATGTGCATAAGAAACATTTAAGGGCGGCTGTAGCTCAGGTTTTAGGACGGTTGTCCTCTGATTGAAAGGTTGGCGGTTTGATCCCCCGCCCCT